TCACACAGCCCAACACCACAAACTGTGCCGCTTGCTATTATGAAGTCAATCCACAATCACTGCAACCTTATAAACAAAATTTAACAGTGCTTTTCTTCATAGAGCTGTGGCAATTAACTTCAGGTTTGTTTCCTATGCCAATACATCTAGCCTTTCGTTCATTACTGCCATATATAGATTCCTCAGACATAAATACACTCTCATGAAAAGAGTTTCGTGATGTAATTTCTTTTCTTAGTCTGTGGTATTTGTTTTCTCTATGCATACATTGTATTAAGCACAATAATAGGTTAACCAGGGTTTATTGTGAAACTTACATTAATTTACCTTGATAAACAAGATTTGTGTGAGGTTAAGATATTGTACAATATTTTGTTTAATGAAAGATGTTTGTATCAAGTTGTCCCAGTAGGAGTGTTTTGCACTTGTATACAGTTTTGCCTGTTTTCAGTCTTTTCTAAGTGCTTGTTATTTGATGTATTAATACTGTACCAATGTAAACATTTGTTTATGATTTGTTTGGAGTTTGAGTTTCAATGTACTGGGTCCGTTCTATAAATTATTACCTTGTTAGAGTATTTTATTTGAAATCAGATGTATCTTCTTATCATGTTATTAATGAACTTCCAAAACGAACCCGTCCACATGGACAAACCAATGATCAATTCATCAAGGTGACCATCACAAAAAAAATGTCCATTAACTTGCCATTCATTGCCATAAGAATGTTAGTATGTTCCATACAAGAAGGCTGTTTCTACCGCTATTCTGCGGCAATATTTTGGTTGATTTTAAGCGTCAGATAAATACACCATGATTTCTTTTTGAAATTAATTACATGTACATGTACCTGTCATGCTATTTTTGTGACCACTAAATCTGAAAGTAGACTCATGTCATATCACACAAAAGTAAGGGCGTGGTAATGGTAACCTTAAACCCGTTATTATCATAATTCAATCTTAGGTAATACATCTGACTAGTTTAGTCTTAAATTTCATTTTTCATGCTTAACAAGAAGAAAAACTTAAAAGGTTTTTTATCAATTATCGAAAATCAGTGGACATCGTACTACTAAGATGTAGGATAGCGTGACCATTTCGATTTTTCGATGTGAACTTTCCTTTTCTTCATAGTAACCTCCCCGTTTCCAATTCACTGTGTTAACGTGTCATATTTGATTCGATATTCAACAGCTAGCTCTGAATAACTTGATTTTTATGAAAGACGCTGGCTGCTGATGGATTAATTTACAAAACAACAAGGCTCCGAAAGAAGTTAATCGGCAAATTGTACAGTCGCCATCACCTCGATTTTCTTAACAATGTTTATAAGTGTGCCTTGTGCCGTTGTCACTTCACTTTTTTTCACTTTGAGAACTTGTTATGCAATGTAACACACCGCACCACCAACAAACGAAATAACACCATCATTTATAGTTATAGCCAATCTTGGCAGGAATGCGACATTATTTACATGTACATATGACGACTTAAAATATCAAATAAACAGACTTAATTTGAAATGTTGCCAAACAAATTACAGTTTCCCTTAACTTCATGACTTGTCAAATTTGACTAGCCAACGATATCATATCTTATAACTTTTCTAGGGTGTTGGTAAATTATGTATTTTTTAACTGAGGAAAACCGAAAACATAATACAGTTGTGTGACCGCACAACGCACCAAAAACATCGTGCATATATCGTGCACACACTGTCCGCACATCGTCAAAACATGGTGCGTACAACTGTACAATTTAACAATCATTCGCCCCGTTGTGCGCTTCTCTCCGTACAAATTTGCGATTTGGTTCAATTAGTTGATCAATATTACGGAATGAAAAAAAATCAGTAGTGTAGGGTTATCCATCCTCTGTCTGCATTCTGGCAGTGTATTCGTCAATGATTGTACCCATTTTGACATGAATAGGATTCACCATGTCCCGTAGTACTTTATAATCTCCAATCCTGATCACCTCGTTGTTCTTCAAAGCATTGAATGCCTGGTGTATGTTTGTCAAACTTGCTGTACACACCCGGCTTAAATACGTCTTTAGTCTACAGTCAAAGTCAGCCCAATCATCTTTTAATTGTGGATCAAGAAATTTACTAAGCTCTACAACCATTTCATTCTCCAATATTTGCATCCGTTAGATGGATCCGTATCACACTGGTCATGTATTGTCCATCCTGTAAGTTATAAACATATGTTAGATCAGAAGCTGTGCCGTGATCACGAAACACACCTAGTTTAAGCTCGAAAACCTTCGTTCTCTTATATGTGTGTGTGGGTGGATGTGGATGTGTGTGTGTGTGTGTGTGTGTATGTGTATGTGTGTGTGTGTGTGTGTGTGTGTGTGTGAGAGAGAGTGTGTGATAGGTCATTACAACAGTGTTAGGCGCATGTCGAATAATTATTTATATATCAATTTTTATTTTTACAGTTGTTTGAAAACAGCAAGTCGATTCATGTTACTGTAATTGGCGTTTCTCTGTGTGATTTGAAGCTCGATAATTTGTTTTTGCTCATTAGAGTGCCCTGTGGTTTTGTTTTCACTACCCGAGTACTCAATATAAGGTCGTGACGTCATTACTTGGATGCGACTTAGACTTGCATTTCGGTTGTCATCGATGAAGGCGAAGGCGCTTTACCGACCAGATAACTTTGTCTTATTGTCCTTTGGTCATATTTTGTCCTAGTTTTATCGATTTTTATTTAAAATTATGGTTTTGAGAACACCTCGGCATTCTCTTGGATTATTAAAGAGTTGTCATACAAGTTTATTAATGGGTACTTCAGTGTAACTATAGTTCAGTTAAGTTTGTTTACAAGTTCTACAATAAAGATTACCTCTTTGTCTGTTTATATTGCCCTATAGACTATGATGTATATTAAATGGAAATTCAAGAGATGTTCCAAATTACAACAAGGGGTCATGAGAGAAACATGAAAAGCAGCTGGGGGAAAATGTCTTAAGTAAATGAGTGTTGGCAGGATAAAAAAGGATAGGATCAAAAAGGGCAAGATAAGCATTGTCAGTTTCCTCACATTTTACTAATACCACGCAAACCATGGTTAGCTTAGTTTTTAAAATGCACTAAGTAAAGGTCATAAATATATAACGAATGTTTTAGCTGTGATCATATATCTATAGTACAGTTTTGACGTGTTTTATATGTAGAGCTATCGTGCAGTAAACTCACCACTTAATGTTTTACACTTAAAAACGCAAGGTTCAATTGTTGTTAAAGAATATGACAGAAAAAAAGACAAACATTACTGAAAAAATTAAAAGGTAATTTATCAATCTGATATAAGGATACACTCTACCTCGTGTAGTTTATTATAGTAGAGTACAAAGCAATGGTCGTACTGTCAACGGAGGGGATTTAATAATAAATCATAGTACCTTGACCTAGATATATGCAGCTCTTCCACGAATTACGATTAAAATAGACTTGACATTTGAAACCTTTGTAAACAGGTAAAACCGAATTCAAACATAAAAACATATAATTAAATAACCTATATATGTACATGTACATATATACGTACATGTAAAAATTACCTATAACCAATATTTTTATTTATTTTTCTTATAACAGTGTATTTTGATTTTGTTTAATAATTAAAGATATTAATTAAGTACACATTGCTAAAAAGAATAAATAGAAACATAAAAGGGTGTTGACGTAGGGTTGGGTGTATGTTATTGGATAAGAGTTCGATTCACTTGACCTAAATAACTACACATAACGAGATTTAAAGTAGAGATCTATTTCACATACGTTAAACTTGTTGTTATATTTGGGTAGATACTATGCTGTTTTATCATGAAAAAATAATTTGGCAACAGTGAAAATAACATACACATCAAATGTTTTAATAAATTTAATAAACTACTTAAAATTGAATACAGTATTACATTTCAAAATGTCCTGCAAAAAGGTCTGAGGTACATGCAGTTCCAGCCCTTTCAACATATTTGTGATCATGTTTTCATCCAGATATACAAATAATCGCCTTATGACACATACGATGATGTTAGCTTTATTTAATGCTTGATGGATATGTGTTGTGAGGCTCAAACCCTAATCTACTACAAACTCCAATATCTTTCTCTGCTGTACTATTTTCAAGCATATTTTACAAACAAAACACTGGTAACAATATTATTATACTGACAAAAAAATCTAAATGTCCAATGTTTGTTTTCAAAAGACTGATGAGCAGAGTAGAATCAAATCGAGGTGCAGGTAAGGGTTTGTTTACCGTATCGAACCAGCATCTGTAAAAAAAATCATGATTATAGACAATAATAATAAGTTTATGATTCATGTAATGTACAAGAATATTAAGTAAATCATTCGGAAACTTCATACTATTAGTGTTGATTATTTAATCTGTCAGAAACTTTGACTGATATAATTCAAAACTATGTCTAATTCTACCACGTTTTGAGATGTAACGACACTTTTCTTTCGTTAATTACCATTTATTACCGGATGACAGACCATGCGCTCGCGTGTATTATTTTTTATCAGACCATGCACGTGCAACACTCTTCTACAAAGCTCTCAAGCAAACGCAAATAAAGCGAGCCGCGGAACTGGTTTCATTTGTATAATGAGAGTACCGTACCTGCATTTCGTTTTGAATGTATCGGAAGATTTGTTAGCGGACGAACAGAAGAGTTGCCATTTAATCTCTAGATCTACCTAAAATCTGGCATACTAACGATCAGAATGTTCCGCTGAACTTACCACGAAATGTTACATGATATATTAAGTGTTAATCTGTCAAAGGCTGATTTCAGGTGTTGACAAGCGATATAAATAGATTATTGATTTGATTGATTGAAATATACATCAGGTATAAAGCATGACGTCAGTGTTAATTGCTAATCTTCTGTCGTAGATATGCCAACTGAAAACGAACAAATCCTTCCCAAAAATATTCAGGTTAAATAGACAAAAAGGGCGACTACTCCGCGAGTTAGAAATGAAAGACAAATGGGCATCACGTGACAAATGGTAGCGCGTGCGAGCAAAAGAACAGCATCTTATATCTAGGTCACCTTGCATATACAATGTAATAGGTGTATAGCCAATGGTAGATAAGAACAAGACTTTCAATACATTGTACTTGGTAATACTTTGATAGATACATTCATCATATATTTGTATAGTATGATGGAAAATATCACATCATGATTAGAAAAGTTTGCGGAAATGATCAACGCAGACTTTAACCTTCGTTAATGCTTTTTCAAATATTTTCTCATCCTTATAATTCATTGATGCCGTGATATTTAAAATGGTTTTAATCTACAGGAAATGAATAAACAGTTCAATTCAAATATTTTTGGCTTGAGTATTTTTATCTTTTACAAGCAAATATTGCACAATTATGAGAGTGGAATACAATGCATAATATTTGCTTATAATACAAAGAAAAATTCGACATAAACATACCTTTCTTTTCGGTGCTAACTTGTTCCATAATCTTCTTTGATTCCTCTCGTACAAGTGTGGCCATTCGTGGAAAGACATTTGCCAGTTTCTTTGCAAATGGTTCGTAATCTTCATAACTGATATAGTTTTCTCCCAACAGCAGTCTCACCAGATCGCCAACACTGCTGATGCCGTCAATCTGTACATTTGATAGGGGGGCATCGTTTGAAAACAATAGTAACAGATTATTCCAATCGTTCATCATGCTTCTACAGGGTGCTATTTCCCGACTCAATTTTGTCACCATTTTGTTGTGAAGATCCGGTACTTTTTGTGAATACTTGAACTCACTTCTTGAAGTGGCGGCCTCCATAATATATTTTCTTTATCCTGAAAAACAAGGATCATCACTGCAGATCACATGGTTTTTGAAGACATTCAATGACGTAACATTTACAAATGTCAATTGACTTTTATTACACGATAAATAAAAGAAAAACGTTAGATAATTCAAACAGTTACTCAAAATCAATCAAACATTTACCGGAGTTAAATCAAACAGTTACCCTGCATAAAATAACAGTTACAGAAGATAACGTAAACAGTAACCCGACATAAGTCAACAGTCACAAGAGATAATTAATCAGTAAAACGACATAAATCAAACAGTTTCTCGAGATAAAACGAACAGTTACCCGAGACAAATTAAACAGATACCCGAGTCAAATTAAACAGATACCCGAGTCAAATTAAACAGATACCCGAGATAATTCGAGCAGTTACCCGAGATAAATCAATTACCCGAGAAAAATCAACAGTTACCCAAGATAAATTAAATAGTTACCCGAGATAAATCAAACAGACAGCCGAGATATTTCATTTAATTATAGACTTTCAAAATGATAAAAATGTTCTGGTGCCTTGTCACCACTAGTAATTACCTTACTTATGTACTTACTTGATGTCTTTCTGTCCAACGCACAGTGCTAATTGTAACAACAGTCAGTACTGAATACAGCGCTCGACGTTGTTGTAAGTGGTAAGCCCCTATACTTGTCAAATAGGTCTTCTGCACAATATATATACATATACCAAACCGAAAGTACTAGTCGGAAAATAGATAATGCATTTTTGCAAAGAAACGGGTAGATGATGTCATCAATATAACTCGAACAATAGGTCAGGTATTCCCTGTTTTGCGTATGATTATATGCAATATTGTAAAGTACGTTTGAGTAATGAATATATATAACTTCCTGTATACATTTTATGAATATTTGTCAGGTCAAGAGGTCACAGACCAAGCCGTATTATTCCTATTAAAATGTGCCTTCTGGGAAACAACTCACATCACAGAATCATATCTCAGTGTTAATAGCAGGCCTTGCTCACCTAGTTCTGCCGGAAGTATCTCATACGTAAGGTTAAACAAATGCAGTTTGATCTTTTGAATAATGATCCATATAAATACAATGTATGTAACATATTTGTTTCTCAAGAAATTTATGTATGTTTACAGACCAGTTAACATAACAGTTCGTGTAAAAATCTGATGTGTTTTGTTAGATAAATCAAACCCATACAAACCGAAACTAGTCTTGTTCATACCACATGTACTGTAAAAATATTAATTTGCCGAAATTCACCCACTTATTCGAAGAGATAATTCGACATTGGTAATAATTTTAGTCATCTATTTAATATAGGTAAGTGCTCCTCAACAGTTTGTTATACTGCATTTCTCTGAATAATTAGTCATTTAAAAAACAGATGGAAAGATAAAATGCTAGAATAAGGAACTATCTGATAACTTATATTGTGGGTTGTACATTTCAATAGAGGTAACCCACAGACGATGTATAAGAATATAAGATGTGGTCAAAGTTCTGGTGGTCAGCGATGAGCTACCACTAACAAAATATCTTGTTTATGTGAGAATTTGTTATTTAGTTAAAGATTCATAACCAAATATCACAAACAGCAAATTACACTGTAGACTTGGAGAACTTCTGGCCGCAGTTACGATTCACGAAATACTACAAATTCACAGAGTATATAATGGACACCCCCCTCCATTTTTCGGTGACTGACAGACTAAAACTAACCGCCGAAATCTAAACTGGCATGTTAGTGACCCAGTGGTAACACTGCCAGTCTCGGTTTACCTATGTAAACCCACCAATAGAGTAAACTAGGTGTGATTTCTACAATACATGAACCCATATAATTGGTATTATTACCCATATTTAAAACACCTGTCCCCGGTTTATTCTACGGACAAAATAGCTCGAACTAGTATACAGTAAAGAACTGACCATTCCGGTTTACATGAGATGGTCTACCATTGCCCACAGTGTAGGTGTACATCTCATATATGAACCGATATATGATAAAGAAATCTCAACCTTTGGAATGAGCCTGTCAGCCATCCGCCACTTGAGGGTCACTAAAACCACTCACCGCCACCTATTAGAATGATATGTTTAAATGACTAACAGGCTAACCTAAAACATCCTGGAAAATTACCTTGTGCACACATTATAATGTTCAGAAATACATTCCTCCTTCCTTTAACAAAGTCTTCGACCCCGAAGACACACGAGACCCTATACCACCTTCTGTGGGTATATATCGTCGGGCACCAAATGTAACAGGAGAGGAAAAATGCACGGCCAGACCGGGGTTCGAATCCGGGACCTTCCGAACTCTAGACAGACACTCAACCAATTGAGCTATCTGGTCGCCAATGATCGACCCAGTCCAGTACCGCTACATACATATGCAAGAGTTAGACTGCCCTATCGTCACACTTCCATTGCTATACTGAAGTTATAATATCTTTTCTGTTTTCTTTCTCAAAAGATTACAGCTTTAGATTTTTTTCAATGTTAATACTGAGGTACCATATTTAATAGCAATGTTTGAAACAGTTAAGAGCGTAAGGCGGACCAATATTGGCGTAGAACATCTACCCAGTGTCGTCAGCATACACTATCATAAATAATTTAAAGTACGCTCCAATATGTGAAGGATAATGGGTATCAATTTCTGAAGGGCAAATATCAACTTCGATAAATACAGTTTCTATGGCATTAAGGTACAGAGAAAACAAAACAAATAGTGATGTGTTTTCGCCTCTTTCACCCTATCTTGCAAATAAAATGTCGGACCTTTCATTTGCATTCTTAATGCATTACTTGGTCTTTAAAACTAACACTGAATACATTCCGAAAGACATTCTTTGGAATCACTTTTTGCACACAGCCCAACAAACTGTGCCGCTTGCTATTATGATGTCAATCCACAATCACTGCAACCTTATAAACAGAATTTAACAGTGCTTTTCTTCATAGAGCTATGGCAATTAACTTCAGGTTTGTTTCCTATGCCAATACATCTAGCCTTTCGTTCATTAATGCCATACATACAGATTCCTAAGACATAAATACACTCTCATGAAAAGAGTTTCGTGATGTAATTTCTTTTCTTAGTCTGTGGTATTTGTTTTCTCTATGCATACATTGTATTAAGCACAATAATAGGTTAACCAGGGTTTATTGTGAAACTTACATTAATTTACCTTGATAAACAAGATTTGTGTGAGGTTAAGATATTGTACAATATTTTGTTTAATGACAGATGTTTGTATCAAGTTGTCCCAGGTGGAGTGTTTTGCACTTGAATACAGTTTTGCCTGTTTTCAGTCTTTTCTAAGTGCTTGTTATTAGATGTATTAAAACTGTACCAATGTAAGCATTTGTTTATGATTTGTTTGGAGTTTGAGTTTCAATGTACTGGGTCCGTTCTATAAATTATTACCTTGTTAGAGTATTTTATTTGAAATCAGATGTATCTTCTTATCATGTTATTAATGAACTTCCAAAACGAACCCGTCCACATGGACAAACCAATGATCAATTCATCAAGGTGACCATCACAAAAAAAATGTCCATTAACTTGCCATTCATTGCCATAAGAATGTTAGTATGTTCCATACAAGAAGGCTGTTTCTACCGCTATTCTGCGGCAATATTTTGGTTGATTTTAAGCGTCAGATAAATACACCATGATTTCTTTTTGAAATTAATTACATGTACATGTACCTGTCATGCTATTTTTGTGACCACTAAATCTGAAAGTAGACTCATGTCATATCACACAAAAGTAAGGGCGTGGTAATGGTAACCTTAAACCCGTTATTATCATAATTCAATCTTAGGTAATACATCTGACTAGTTTAGTCTTAAATTTCATTTTTCATGCTTAACAAGAAGAAAAACTTAAAAGGTTTTTTATCAATTATCGAAAATCAGTGGACATCGTACTACTAAGATGTAGGATAGCGTGACCATTTCGATTTTTCGATGTGAACTTTCCTTTTCTTCATAGTAACCTCCCCGTTTCCAATTCACTGTGTTAACGTGTCATATTTGATTCGATATTCAACAGCTAGCTCTGAATAACTTGATTTTTATGAAAGACGCTGGCTGCTGATGGATTAATTTACAAAACAACAAGGCTCCGAAAGAAGTTAATCGGCAAATTGTACAGTCGCCATCACCTCGATTTTCTTAACAATGTTTATAAGTGTGCCTTATGCCGTTGTCACTTCACTTTTTTTCACTTTGAGGACTTGTTATGCAATGTAACACACCGCACCACCAACAAACGAAATAACACCATCATTTATAGTTATAGCCAATCTTGGCAGGAATGCGACATTATTTACATGTACATATGACGACTTAAAATATCAAATAAACAGACTTAATTTGAAATGTTGCCAAACAAATTACAGTTTCCCTTAACTTCATGACTTGTCAAATTTGACTAGCCAACGATATCATATCTTATAACTTTTCTAGGGTGTTGGTAAATTATGTATTTTTTAACTGAGGAAAACCGAAAACATAATACAGTTGTGTGACCGCACAACGCACCAAAAACATCGTGCATATATCGTGCACACACTGTCCGCACATCGTCAAAACATGGTGCGTACAACTGTACAATTTAACAATCATTCGCCCCGTTGTGCGCTTCTCTCCGTACAAATTTGCGATTTGGTTCAATTAGTTGATCAATATTACGGAATGAAAAAAAATCAGTAGTGTAGGGTTATCCATCCTCTGTCTGCATTCTGGCAGTGTATTCGTCAATGATTGTACCCATTTTGACATGAATAGGATTCACCATGTCCCGTAGTACTTTATAATCTCCAATCCTGATCACCTCGTTGTTCTTCAAAGCATTGAATGCCTGGTGTATGTTTGTCAAACTTGCTGTACACACCCGGCTTAAATACGTCTTTAGTCTACAGTCAAAGTCAGCCCAATCATCTTTTAATTGTGGATCAAGAAATTTACTAAGCTCTACAACCATTTCATTCTCCAATATTTGCATCCGTTGAGATGGATCCATATCACACTGGTCATGTATTGTCCATCCTGTAAGTTATAAACATATGTTAGATCAGAAGCTGTGCCGTGATCACGAAACACACTTAGTCTAAGTTCGAAAACCTTCGTTCTCTTATATGTGTGTGTGGTTGGGTGGGTGGATGTGTATGTGTGTGTGTGTGATAGGTCATTACAACAGCGTTAGCCGCATGTCGAATAATTATTTATATATAATTTTTATTTTTACAGTCGTTTGAAAACAGCAAGTCGATTCATGTTACTGCAAATTGGCGTTTCTCTGTGTGATTTGAAGCTCGATATTTTTTTATTGTGCTCATTAGAGTGCCTTGTGGTTTTGTTTTCACTGCCCGAGTACTCAATATAAGGACGTGACCTTACTTGGATGCGACTTAGACTTGCATTTCGGTTGTCATCGATGAAGCCAAAGGCGCTTAACCGCCCAGATCACTTTGTCTTATTGTCCTTATACTTGTTCATGGATCCACATTTAAATCTGTCCTTTGGTCATATTTTGCCCTAGTATTATCGATTTTGATTTCAAATTATGGTTTTGAGAACACATCGGCGTTCTCTTGGTTTTATTAAAGAGTTGTCATACAAGTCTTTTAATGGGTACTTCAGTGTAACTATAGTTCAGTTAAGTTTGTTTACAAGTTCTACAATAAAGATTAC